TCAATTCAAATTTTACTTTAGCAATACACATGCGCGATAATCATCCACAAAGTAAACATATGTGTAAAGTACGTGATTAACACACCTTTATCATGCAAAAACCATCTCTTTAGCATGCTTTGAAATATATCAGTTGACAGTAGCAGACTTTGTGAACAAAAACATATTTCTGTTATGATGTTTATTTTGTCTACAGATATGTAAAGTATACGTAACTCAACACGCACTAGCAAAGCATGTGTTTGATGTCCATAAGTTTTTATACTGTTATCGCTGTTTCCAAATATACCTAACGGAAAACAAATTAATTGATCACAAATGTTTCGAAACTACTGTACCCAATCGTAAGTGTCCCGTAAGTGTTAAAAAAATACGCATTTACTAAAAGAAAATCATTTATTCAACATGCTTTAAAATATGTTGGATTCCAATAACAGAACATGTTACCAAATATTATTTTCTCTCTGATTTTCTTTTTAGAAATGTAATAAAATATTTGTACTTAACACAAGTTTACAAAACCATACAGTATTTCATAAAGAAAAGTCTTTAAAGTGTGAGGATTGTACCAACGTTTTCCCATCAAAAACAATATTACAAAACCACAGAAGATCCTATCATTGCAAGTATCAATGTGAGGTACGTGATAAACACGCTTTTCTTATAAGAAAACCATTTAACATGGCGTAAAATATAGCGGATTACAGCAGAACATGTTAAAAAAATAATATTACCGTTATGATGTTACTGTTGTCTAGACTTGCAAAAAATTATTTATACTTCGTAACAGACTAAAAAGCCATATACTCGACGACCATTCAGGTTACTTGTGTGATTACTGTGACAAAATATTCTCAACGGAAGACAATTTTATGAAGCACCTCTTAGAAATACATAAAGATGTCCTTCTATTCTGTCCCGTAAGTGATAAAAAATACGCAATTAGTATAAGAAAACCATTTGTTTACCATGCTTTAAAATATATCGGATTACAGTAGCAAGACTATGTTACCAAAATATCATTTCCGTTATAATGTTATTTTTGTTTAGATTTGTAAAGACAGATGTATGACACGAAACAAACTAAAAACCCACTTACGCGTAAAACATTCACGTTACTTGTGTAATTACTGTGACAAAATGTTCTCCCAACGAAAAGATTTACGTAATCACAAAGACTCCGAGCATAGTAATGTCAATTTTTTTACGTGTCCCGTAAGTTATAAATACGCATTTATTATAAAAAAAAACCATTAGTACAACATATTTAAAAATAAACTAATTTCTATTAGTAGAACATGTTAACAAGAAAATATTTTCATTACGATGTTAATTTTGTTTAGTTACAATGTGATTTGGAATTTGCATCACAAACGGCACAACAAAATCATTTAGTCTCAAAGCATTCATATTTTCCGTGTATTGAATGTAGCCACGCATATGAGACGAGAGAAGAATTAGGTAGGCACACATACTCCGAGCATAAAGAAACCTATTTTCCGTGTCTTGTAAGTGATGAATACGCATTTATTAGAAAAAAAACATTAGTACAGCATACTTTAAAATAAACTGGTTCCTCTTAGTAGAACATGTTAACAGGAAAATATTTTCATTACGATGTTAATTTTGTTTAGTTACAATGTGGTTCGGTTTTTGCAACACAAGAGGCACAACAAAACCATTTAGTCTCAGACCATTCATATCATCCCTGTAATGAATGTCGCCAAGCATACAAGACGAGAGAAGAATTATGTAAACATAAATACTCCGAGCATAAGGAAACCTATTTTCCGTGTCTTGTAAGTGATGAATACGCATTTATTAGAAAAAAAACATTAGTACAGCATACTTTAAAATAAATCGGTTTCTATTAGTAGAACATGTTAACAAGAAAATATTTTCGTTACGATGTTATTTTGGTTTAGGTACAATGTGATTTGGAATTTGAAACACAATCTTTACAACAAAGTCATTCAGTCTTACAACATTCATATCTTCCCTGTACTGACTGTCAGCAAGCATACGAGACGATAGAAAAATTACGTATGCACAAACACTCCGAGCATAAGAAAACTTTTTTTCCGTGTGTCGTAAGTGATGAATACGCATTTATTATCATGTAACCATTAGTACATGTTAACAAGAAAATACTTCCGATACAATGTTATTTTTGTCTAGAAATGTAACGAAGATTTTACAGCACTACCTATACTACAACAGCATGTATTTTTCTCACATTTATCTTACTTGTGTAATCAATGTCCCCTAAGATACGAGACGATAGAAGATTTACGTAGGCACACGTATTCCAAGCATAGCAAACCCTATTTTCCGTGTACCGTAAGTAATGAATATACGCATTTATTATAAGAAAACTATCTATTTAGCATGCTTTACAATATATCGATCTCCACTAGTAGAACATGTTAACACACAGTAGTAATAAAATATACTGACAGATTAAAATATTATTGTTACGAGAGATGACATTTGTTATTAGACATGTGACCAAAGCTTTGCAACATCATATGCACTATTCATTCATGAACAAATAACTCATTTAACCAACATATATTGTTACATATGTCACTCAACTTTTACACGCAGTGAAGATTTAGACAATCATAGTGCAACAACGCATTCAGGATACCGTTATAAATGTGGAGTAAGTGATGAAAATGATTTTTATCGTAAGAACACTCTGTCCAAAATAATAAACAAAATACTATTTTAAATGTACATTAAAAAACTATAATTAAAATATGTTAATGGTAAATTTATCGTTACAATGTTATATTTTTTGTTAAGTATTGCCTCAAGATTTTTGCAACACAACTTCAATTACAAACTCATGCAAATATTCATACTGACATTTTTTTCCCGTGTAAGTACTGTGGCATAATCCGCAAAAATAAAAGATATTTAACTGAGCACATACGTAACGTGCATAAACAAGAGTACCTTAAACTGGTTACATGTACGGTACGTGATGAACACGCTTTTATCATTACACACAAAAACATTTGGTCAGCATGTTTTAAAATATATCGATCTACATTAGCAGAACATATTAACAAAAAAATATTACCGTTTCGATGTTCGTTTTGTCTAGATATGTAACGAGAAATTTGCATCCCTAGTCCAACTACAACATCATAAAATTGAACAACATTTCTTACACTTGTGTTATTACTGTGACAAAACATACTCAACGCCATACGATTTATGTGTTCACAACCTCCAGGAGCATGGAGATACTCATTTTTTTTTACTACAGTAAGTGATGCATACGCATTTATTTTAACCAAACCACATGTTTGACATGAGTTGAAATTAACGATATATCAGCAATGGTATCAAATCATGGTAAAGGTAAAATATTCCTATACGAATATTATGTATTTTTAGGATATCCCCAGCGAACTTTCCACTGCAATCGAAGCTACAACGTGATTTAGCAATTTATTCACATCAAAACCCTGTTTCGTATGATGGAAGGACTGATTTACCCGGCACCTCGATTATAAACATACCACAAACCCTGCATGCAAAACAGGTAACTAATTTAGTTGGCGTAATGTCTAGAAGTGAAGAGGTATTCCTTATAAAAAAATCACCATATGATTACAATATTTCTATATATACTGTAGCGGTCTACAGTGATCGACACATGTCAATAGTGTAAATTATTACACTATGTTACAATATTAGTGTTTTTCAGTTACACGTCGACAACTCTGCACCACTATCTGACCAACAAACTGGACAAAATGTTGTGAGACCATCCAGGATTTGTACATGTAACGACATACTCGCGACTAATTGTGGCCTACATTCGCACTCGCCACAGCCTCGAGAAGACTGATATCATAAACGACTACCCTTTTATTTGTCTTGTAAGTATACTACACACGCATGTTTTTTCTATAAATCTTCATTTACTATAATAAAAAATACACTCTATCCGTCTATGTCTAGCAATATGAATTATAAAAGATTACCACATATAAACGGTGAAATAATAATTTTACGCTATTTCTTTCAAGTACTGTCCTCAAAGCTTTCATAAGCCGAAACTGAATTTATTTGTTATGAATAAGAGTGTACCAAAGCATTAACGTTCGAAGACGTGAAAGTGCTTTCTTTACTTGAATGAATAAAGTATCTACAACTGAAGCTGATTTAAAGATGCACAAACTCAGGAGGTATAGAAAGAAACGTTTTATATCGTAAGTAGGGGACACGCATGTTTCCAATCATGTACTTAATAATAACACATTCCTATCGATCTATCGGTCATAGTATATGAAATTATAAAGAAAAAACAGGTTTGCTATTATATGGCTAGCGAGAAAAATTTGATAAGTCTACTGAATTTTTTGTTTATTGAACAATCTTATGTGTAATGTATACGCATTCTTTTTTGTACCAAATATAATCGAAAATAATGCAAATATGAAACGACGAACCTGTACAATCATTTAAATGTATAGATTAATTTTTCCGTTTACAAGACTTCTAATTTGTTACAATTAGATGAGAAAATTAGCAATTGATACCTGCACTTTTTGTATGTATCTAGCTAAATATGTGTAGATTCTTTCGCTGTTAGTGGGTGTATAATACAAAATAAAAAATTATAACTTTTCAAATTATTTTTTCTTATTTTTATGTTAAAAAATAGTTTTCCTTTATGGTAAGTTACTAAACTATAAAAACGATAATTGTGATATTTTCAAGAGAAAGGTGTCCGCGTATAAAACCGTTATACAATTAGTATGTTTTTAATCACCTTTTTTTTTATCTCTTATCTATGTAAAAATTATCCATTGTAAACTGTATATACAGACTGTCCTAAAAAGTAAAGTTACTCGTAATACTTATTTTTTTTCATTGTAAGAAAACCATACTTAGAAAAAATATCTTACATTTTTGAAAAAAGACATAACAGTCTGATGTGAGTTACTACAAAATGAAAACATTGTATACTAATAGAAAATCAGAATAAATTTTTGTGGTTAAATATCAAAAAAAAGATTGCAAAAAAGTAACTTGAGTTACTAAAGTAACTTTTAATACGAAGCAGTTTTCCTTTCAAGTTTCTTATTCATACTTATACCTAACTTACTAGTTATAGTTTTGAACCGAAAGTGAAATGTCTACCATTTGTTTCTATCAACAGTTTTGAACAAACGTAATAAGAAGTCAACTATTCCTCATAATTAAATGATTTTTAATGCAACAATGTTTTTAAATAAAGGCTTCATTTACTTGACATACATATTTTACAATTTGTTCATACTTTTGTTTTCGATTTTCTTAATCGTATCAGGAAGCGTTATCAAAGTCTGCACTTCACTGTTTTATCGGCAATTGTAATACTTCGTATCAAAATGTGATACACACCTTGCGAAGACTCGCGTTTATTTCTTGTTTTGCGTTTTAGACGTAAGCAGTGATATTGAAAGA